TATGTATATATATATATATATATTCATGTCTGAGAGTAATTTTGGAATGAATGTTTTTCACACATATAACCATCGTCTGTTGTTGTTGGGTTTTTTCGGGGAGGGATTATCGTTCTTTCTTATCAGTACAACTGTAGCACTGGATTAAAACATAAAGGGGACATCTCTGGTCGTTCATGAACTCAGGCACTGGATGAGGCTTGAGGAGGGGATGATATGGCCACTGACGTATAAGACATCTAAACAAATCGTAGATGTTCCTTCCTCTTGAGTCAGTTCATAAGAGTGATTGTTAATTTCAAGAGGTTTGTGTTTCATTTCATCAAAAGCATTCTCCCCTGGTAAACTAGCAAAGCTTTCTTTAGACCCAGTTACGAAACATGCGCTGACCATCAGTTTACTGAATTCCCTGCTGGAGAAGGAACGGGTGTGGTGCCTGAAGAGCCTGAGTGAGGAGCTATCTTTTGACGGCTCGACCCTAAACAAGAATTGAGAGTCATGAGAACATATTGTTGGTTTAAAGAACCTCATGGTAGAGCTGTAGTAATCACAGACTCTGGAGAAAACGAGCTACCAGGGACAAGACTAGAGATGGAGGCATGTGATGACAAAGTCAAGAGGCCACTACCTGGTCCTGACTCTGTGGAGCCTTGACCACTGGCTTTGTTTTCCTTTCTCTGTTTTTGTTTCAGGTGAACCTTGGCATGCCTCTTCTTCTCATCACTGCGAGCAAACTTACGGCCACACATGTCACAAGAAAAGGGCTTTTCGCCTGTATGGGTTCGGATGTGAGTGGTCAGATGATCACTTCGGCTGAAGGATCTCATACAGATCCGGCACTGAAAGGGTTTCTGACCAGTGTGAATACGAATGTGTCTGGTTAGCTCATCACTCCGAGAAAACCGGCGGTCACAACCCTCAATGGGACAAGCATATGGCCTTTCGTGGACAGGCGTCTTGCTTGGTCTGTTGGGGTACTTTCGTGGCTTCATGGGTACTATCTTCAAGGGTGCTGGACTGTTCTGATAGGCCTGACTCAGAATCTCGTGGCCCTTGCTGGTTGACTGGTTATAGTCAGCGAGGTTAGCAGTTGTCACAAATCCTCCGTCCATTATTTGCCCTGGTTCCTGCTTTGGCACTATGGCAGTTGTGACTAAAGGGGGAGTCAGTTGAACAGTGCTGAAGGTTCCATACTCCGGCAAAGTAGTAGACCACTGATACTTAGAGAATGGTGTTGGCCCCGTCCTGAAGAAATCGTCCTCAAAATTCTGCTGAACCACAAAGGGTTGGATGCTAGTTGCTACCAAGGTTGTCAAAGTGCCTTCTGAGGTTGGGGCATTTTCTTGGGTGGTGTACACAGGTGGTTGTTTCATAAGGAATGTCCCAGTGGTGGGATCAAACTGGGGTGGGGCATTCACTTGTAAAAGTAATTCAGCTTGACCAACAGGGGATCCAAAATTCTGTTCTAGGGATACAGCTTCTTGGGGAGTGGGGTCGTAAGGCGTTGAAGCTGGTGAAGCTGAGAAATGAGATGAGGGAGCAGGAGAGGGCACACTGCCAGAAGGAGCAGGAGGTGTCGGTGCAGCCGAAGATGCCGGAGAAGAAACCTGTGTGGGAATGTTCAAGAAAGGTAAAAACACCGATGATGCCTTGTCACTGCAGATCCACGAACCAGCGGGTGCACCCTGAGGGGTGGGCGAAGAGGTGGTAATAGTGTTGGTCATCTGTTGTTGGCAGGAGGTGGAGAACATTTCTCCTTCCAGCTTCTCTGGTAGTGATACAGTGGCTTCTGCTGTAAAGAAAAAAAAATATAACTAAATACAGTATAACAGTCAGCACAACTCTTGAGAGCCTAAGAGAGATGGAACACCTGATTAAATATATTTAAGATTATAAACTACTTTCCAGTCTACAAAACCAACACTTTCAATACATCTACACAACCTTTTGCCTATCAATATATTGACCAACTTCGGCGCAATTCCTCTTAACTAAGATTGTCACAGCTTCAGCTAAGTTTTGATCTACATGCTATACAAATAGTATCACATGGAAACATTAGTATCTTGGTAATCTGATATAATATTACTTTGTCTCTACATTCTGTGGAAAAACAAAAACAAAAAACGATTAGGCTGAAAAACCTTAACATAACGTCATATGTTTAATATTTTCTGTCGTTAGATGAGCTCGTGTCGCCATTATTTCTCGCGACAGATCTGTACGTAATATGATGGCTGTGACGTCATATATATATAATCTTATCCACGTTCGCCCACGAGATATGCGCTGTGTCCGGGGTCATGAATGGTCAGTGTTAAGTCAGTGGAAGGTGCAAGACAAAATGGACCAATTTTTTAAACATCGTATACCATGTAAAAAATATCAAACTTCAATATCGTCCCCTCTTTCTACTTGAACATCAAAAATGATGTTAGTTCTCTGAAAACGCACCCGTGGATAGGAGACAAATAATAATTTCGTATATATATATGTGACGCAAAAAGAAAGAATAATAATAATGAAAGTAAAAAAAAAAAAATGAAAGAAAAAAAAAAAAAAATACCCAAGGGTTCATTACATGTACGAGTTTTTCACAGAA